TATGTTCTCAAATGTGTAAAATTAACGGCATGTTGATATGTTCTTATATACATGTGAACTGTTATTTTAAATGTTAAGAAATACAGTGATATGGTAAAAGTGAAAGTAATGTTAAAAATTTGTTATTCGTGTGACTGTAAAAAGACTAAATCATGGTGAATATGTGTTAAAGGTTGAATGATGTAGTTAGGCTCTCTGACGCTACACTGCAGAGTTAGCCACTTTCAGAATAGTACCTCAGGGTTTAGAGTTGAAATTAGGGTGTGTTAAGAGGTCTTGGTATGTTGAATTTTAACACGTTAGTGTTTTGATTGTAGGAGGAAGTGTGGAACACGTAGACAGAAACACATTCGTGTTTGGTGTTCTTTTACAACACATGTCAGAGAGCACGGGGAGAGATAATTAAAATAGTCATGAATGAAATAAGAATGTTAAGTGAAATATAATTATACATGTTACTTGCCATTTCATTTTGTAACATTTCATTAAACTAGTTTTCCTTCCAGATCTCTGGAAGGAACCAGAATTGAATAAAAGCACCTGTTTGGATGCAGTACAGATGAAAAAAAAAATTGTGTATCCTGGGAGCTGCTATTGTAAAAAAAAACAAATTTCTTTCTTTTAAATTTCTAGTTTCTAGCGAAGTATATTTGTAAAAGATTGGCCTCGCGTTAGATTCTAGAGCTAAAAGTTTTCAACAAGGTCGTTTTAGACCTCAGTTTCAAACTAATTAACTCTGACCGGAAGTATGTAAGGATCTTAAGTTTTACTAACGTTTATTTTATTTTAAATCTTTACTATCACTTCTTATTTTCTACTTCCGGCCAGAATTATAAGCGTGAAGTTATTTATGTAAAGTTTGTCTGGCGAACGCCAAGTATTTAAGTTGTGGCTTTTTGGCCAAGCAAAAGAGAGGAAGCAGTGAGTCGAAGCAGGCCGCTTACCATAGAAGTTACGCAGTTGCTGTTTGCCTTCCAGGCCAGAGGTTTTAATCCTCTTGATAAATTGTAAACGTATTGTAGTGTTCACAGTTCTCTGTACTACATATGCTTCCTGTTAATATAAGGCCAATCTTCCACGTTTATTATTTTAGAGTGAAATTAGAGTTTAGTTCTATTTTTATATTTATACGTTAGACCCCGAGTAGCGGGTCCGTGTATTCCGAAGTACGGAAGTTATTGTAAATAAGAAAAATAAAGGGTTTTATATACCCTTCTGGTGTATCCTGTTTACTTCCCACAGTTTTGAACATAGCTTTAGTAAGCTCTCTGTTCCGAGTCAGGTCCTTGCATGTTCCCGAAGAAGGTTAGAAGGAACATTGACACTGATAATTTGATATGGAGAGAACCTGGAACCCGTTATCATCCGTCAAACATCCGTGAAAGAGACGCATACGGAAGAGGCAGTGTCTGTGTTTGGGGTAGCATTTCTTTGGGTGGAAGCACAGACGTCCATGTTTTTCCAAGGGGAACCGTGAATGCTCATGTTTATAGAGATGACATCCTTGATGCTTATGTGCGCCCACATGCCGAGGCAATAGGTGATGCTTTTCTATTACAGGACGACAATGCAAGACCACACAGGGCTCGCATCGTATAGGATTATCTTCAACAGGAAACAATTATGCGTATGGAGTGGCCAGCTCGACCCCCGGACTTGAATCCTATCGAGCACGTTTGCGATACTTTAGGGAGACGTCTAGCTGCTCTCAATCCGCCCCCTTAGGCCCTTGCCGCGCTTGCAACTGCTTTGCAAGAGCAATGGCTCTCACTTCTTATGCAACTGATAGACCGCATAATTGAAAGCATCACACATCGCTGAATGTGCTGTATTGCTTCTAGAGGCGATTATATTCCATATTGAAGGTACTTTTACTATAGCAGACTGACATCTTCGATTTGTTCATTTTATGCATGTGCTAATTTCTATACTACCATAACTGTCTGGTAATTTCATTTTATGTTATTTGGTACCTTACTATGTGTTATATATTGTGGGTAAGTTTCATAAAATTCTACATGTAACTTTTTCAGTAATCGTGACTTTTGTGATTTTTCCTTAATTTATGATAACCAGCGTAGTTGGAGGGATCCTTCGGGTCTTTTCCTAGGTATAGGAATAACAACAGCTCTCTTCCATGCAATGGGGAAAATGTACTCCTTCCACACTCGGTTATAAAGAGCGAGAAGGGCAGTCAATGACTTAATGGTTAGGTTAGGTTAGGTTATTTAATTACAGCAAAGCCTCGAGGGCTATCTGCCTAAGGGGACGGATGCCTTCGTGGAGGACTTTCTAAGGGAAACTGGCTCGTATACACGTTACACGTGGGGGAAACCACGAAAACACCCATGCAGTCAGCCCGTTCGTGGGATTCGAACCTCGGACCGAACTACCAGTGTTCAGCGACTTTACCTCTCGGTCGCTGGTGGACTTATAGGACAGATGCTCCAGCATTTAAGCCCCGTTCACAGAGAAGATTCGACCGGTAGCGAAAACCGGTTCTTCCAACGTGTCCCATTTACATGGGACAAGCATTAATTGCCTCGCCGAATTGGAGGTAGAACTTGGTTGAATGTTCCTTACCTCTCGGGAGCAGGGCAAATGGGGAGATTTCCCGTACTATACTGCGCGGTTCACTTAATTTTAGTTACTGCTCGCTGGACTGTCAGCGAAACAATCGCGCTGATAGATGTCTGGGGATGTGATAGAATCCCCTCAAAAATTAGTCAGAACTGTACAAGATACGGAAATTATAGACAAATATAGACAAGGTTAACTGATACTAGGTATTCCAGAAATATCGTTCAAATTAAAACTAAAGTTAAGACAAGTGCATATCGGCTTCAACGCGACAAGGGACTCCGTACCTTTCGAATGATTTTTTTTTAAAAAAAATTAAGCATTTTCATCTACTTTTTATGAATATTATTAAATGGTTTTGTGAGACAAAATAATTTTAAGCTGAAAAAAGGTTTTTGCTAGTATTTTTTTTAATTTAAATTTTTGAAGAAAAATTTTACAATTAAAATGTCTTTCTTCTCTGTAATTTGCAATGTCTCCCTCCAGTTTTTTTATTGTATTTATTAGAGTGTTCTTAATAATTTCAAGGCATGATTTCCTCCTCTTGCTAACAGCAGCTGTGCAAAGGAGCGCTGCATGTGAACGGGGCTTTGGTTACTAATACCATCTAGACCCGTACTAGACCTACGTGTCTGCAATAAAACTCTTTTCAGTGGCGCATCGTAAAAACGCTATTATAAGGCTCGGATTATTATTGCTGGAAAACCGCAGCAAATGTTTCACTGATAGTGTTCGCAATTTCTTCTGTGAAGCTATCACTCGGCCATCTTTTTCCAGAAATGAGAGTGAGTGGGCATTATATAGTGAGTGGAAATAGTAACTTATTAGCATTTCTATCTGCTATATATTTAGTAATTTTCCGTAGGTCTAGTTTCGTTGCATCCCACATTAAAACAATTTGTTTAGACAAATCTCGATATAGTTTGTCTTAATTTTGAAATATGTGTTTGTGGTATTTGCCTGCAGTGCGAGAAATTGTCGCAGATTTCTTCAGGAATATGGCAGGAAATAGTAATTAATATAATTGTTTTAGGTCATATAATTTTGGGACAAATTCTCTAACCGGAACAAGTCCTTTGAAACCAAGGAGGTTAGAATAGATTCTATTCTAGACCAAGGAAACAAGGAGGTTAGAATAGATTCTATTCTTGTTTGAAACTAATATTACAGCGATAACCGTAAACGTTCTGCGAAAATAAAAGAAATAAAAAAATTTGAAAGCTTTCAGATTTTATATTACACTAAAAGGTCGTCTCGTGTGTTGGAGATAAAAATGTTTTTTCTTTCCGTACAGTGTTGTCATGCTCGCTTTCAAACCGTTGAGTTTTTTAATCAAAAATTAGTTAAATGTTTTACAAAAAATATATAATAGATAGTAAAAAAATTCGAAATTAAAAATGCGGGCTTCCAGGTACCCATATTCTCCAAAACTCGCTTGTAAGTAGATTTATTGATTGATTTCCGAGATAAATTATAATGTATATGTGAATAATATACAATACTAAAGACGCATGTAATAAATAATACTTTGCTGAATTAAATCGCCATTCTTTCCTTCTGTAAATTCTTCTTCTGTCCTTCGCCAAACTACACCAAAATGGATGAGCTAATATCTAAGTACCGAAAAATGTTCTCGTAAGTGTCTCAAATAACATGAAATTTTTATAAAACTATATTCCGCTATGTAATATACTAAATATTCAGTGAAGCAGTATGTTTCAATGCCTTCAAAGATGGAAAATCAAAGATGATTGAAAGATGGAAATCATACCTAAGCTGTGAAAATGAGGATTGTCTGAGTTCGGTGCGGGGGCGGGAGGAGGAGGTTTTACATAATGGACACTTTTCCCCAGAGGTACAGTTTAAAAAGTAAAATTTTGTATTTACAATATTTTTATTTTCCCAATGTTTTAATTATCTTCATAATTTTCAATAACCTATTTTAAGAATTTTTATAATTGGAAATACATTATTAAGATAACTATTTAAGGAAATACAATTTACAGCCATATTTTCTGATCATCCTTTATTTGTACATGAGAACTATTAATAAAACATTATTTGCTAATATTACATATTTATATAAAGTAGATTACAACAAGAAAATTTCATTTCCTAATACACGAGGTATTATTGGGTGGTACAGAGTAAAAACTAAACAGATTTTTTTTTTTTTTTTTAAATTAAAAACGGCGTTAAGAAATGTTTCCCTTGTGAAAGATTTGAAGTACAACATTGTTTTAAAAAGCCATTTATTTAGCTCATGTTTTAAATTTAATAATAACAGTAAAATATGTGTTTTAAATTTAATACTAACAGTAAATATTTTTACTTTAATAGAAGCAGCATTCTTTCATGAAATAGAAGGAAATTGAAAAAATGTGATTTATAAAATATAATACGCAAAAAATTCAACTTACAACTTTCAAATGCACTGAATAAATATTTCCAGGTTTAATGACAAAACCATCATAGAATGGATTGATGATGGTGTTTGGGGAATGAATGGCGATGATGGCTCCCACTTGGCGATCTGGACGGAAATATTCGCCAGGTTCCATTTCGAAAACCATGTGAAACAATGCATCTTTTTCTATATAAGATAAATGAATAAATTTAAAATAAATTAAGTAAAATAAAAAAGTAAATTTTGCCTTTATACTGGATCCTCTTTTAAAATTTATGTGTGTAAAGGAAGTGCAGCTCAGAATCAAAACAATGAATATAAAAAATCTCATGTGGATACGACATAACTTCCTTGTACGGCCAATTAAATTATACACATTTTTGTTGCATTTCGTTTAAACCTATATTCCGATTTTCACTAGAGATATATTTCTCATTCAATCAATTCAGTTTTTACTTCGCGAAAAGGAAATATACATAAAAATTCACCTTCATTAAAAAACAGTAAAATACAATAAAACCTAAAACACCAAGAAACCCGTTAAAACCGTTATAAAAACAATTTTTACAGCTAAAATTAAACTTAGTTAAAGTAAGCAGAAAGACAGATTTTTCGGTGCACAAAACTTCTGACACCACTTGGCAAAAAGACCCTGAAGTTGGTGCAGAAACTGACTTAATTCGCTATGCTACTAGGTTTCAAATGTAAACAAATGGCGGCGTCGTTAGGTTTAGTGGAACTTAAACAACTTTTAAATTGTTAATAATTCCACAACTCCAGAGCAGCCTTTAACGGCTCCCTAGCCATAAGCGAGATAAAACTCTGGTTGTTTTTCCTTGGTTGATTGCGGCAAAGCCTACGAAGACTTGTGAAGGAAAGGGATGCTTTCATAGAGATATTTCTAAGAGAATCTGGTTGTTATTTCACATTACACTCGGGAAAAACCACGCAAACTCCCATGCAGCCAGTCTGTTCTCCAGGGCCGGAAGCCAGGTCGAACTACTAGTGTTCAACGACTTTACTACTCAGCTGCTGGCAAGTCGTAGAACTCGAATATTTTTCTCTTAACAACGAAACCCAACCCTTTTTATTAATCTCATAATGGTTATAATTCAATTAATATTCGTATTTCATTAAAAAGATTTAACCACATAAGTACTTTGATTATTTTTTTTTTCTTCTCAGTTTAATCCCATGTGGCAAGCAGAATCTCATTATTCTTCACTGCAGCAATGATAAACATAACCTGAAAAAATATTTCATAATAAAAATGGCGCCTCCAATACAGAGCTGCTAGGGGGAGGAAAACTCTTTTCCCCGGTCTCTAGCTATGGCACTGCGTAAAAATTGAGCTAATGCTTGCAAATATTAAAAAGGCTCATCAGCCAATAGCTCTCCTATTTGATGTTATCAACTAACACAATAGAGAGAGATTGATTTCCTTGAAGAATTTAAGTCACATGTTTAGTTAATCGAATCGAACAACATGTGATATATCAAGCTGGAAATTGTACTATATTCTGCGTGAAAATAAATGCTGCGGTGCATTTTATATCATTGTTACAGATTATCTTTGTACTGCTTAGCATAAACAGTGAAGAACACCAAGTAACAATTGTGGTTACAGTTTCCGATCTGAAAATAAAAATAATTGTTAATCCTTCAGAGTTTGTGAACACTGTAACGAACCTCTTTCTCAGGAAAATGGTTGACAAGAAGCAGAACTTCTCTGTAGTGACCCCCAAATATGGAGTTTTCTCACCAGCCGGGTTGTTGTGAATTTGCTTATTTGATGACAATTTTGTGTCGATTCCTTTTTCCGCGGAGATTTTCTGTTGTGGATTTGAGTCAGAGGGGGACAGAGATTGGAATTCGAAGGGAAAGAACGGACTCTGAACCCTCCTCGTTCCGTTGCGACAGAAAGGATGCTATTAATTTTTCTTTAATGTAAATTCATCGTATATACGTATTTTCTGTACACAATAAAAGCTGTATTAGCCCGCAAGCACCATTCTGGTTATTTCATCTGTCATATGACAACGTCAAAGACCAATATGGATCTCTTGGGTAGAAATTTCTATACTGGAGAACGACAAAAAGCTTTACTGAAAAACCGTAAAAATTGTGTTACACAAGAGTCAAAATGACAGTTTCTAACACCAATGATCAATGCTTTACATTCCGAAAGTTCTGAATATATATGTTTGGTTGTAACGAAAGTTTTCCGCCAAAAAAACTTTCTCAATAAAGTTAGAAAAAAAAAAAAAAAAAAAAAAAAAAAAAAAACACGAAAGCAGTACCCTTAGTGCGGGTACTAATTACCACTCAAATTTGTGATTTTCTGCCAACGTTGTAATAATTTTTCAAAGCTTTCGGCCCAGAAACTTGGTGGCCGCGAGTCCAAAAACAGATAAGCCTCATTTCAGAAGTCCTGTGCAGAACGGAAGATAGCACCAGCAAGATATAACTTCAGGTGTGAAAAAAGGTAGAAATCCGACGGAGCAATGCCCGGGGCTATTTGGTGGGTATGGCAAAATCGAAAAGATCCCATTCGAGTCTCTACAGCAAACTCGTAGGTAGCTAAGGTATTCAGCGCCAGGGGAACAAATGAAAGATTTCGCGTCCCCTACTGCTTGGCAAAAACGGAAATCATCTAATTCTAAAGTTTCGTAACATTATTTTGGCGCCCCCTGGATGCTGCATCCGGGGACAGATGTCCCCCCTTGCCATCCCTCTAGATTGCCTCTCTCTTGCCCCCTTGCCTCTTGCCACCCCTGCTGTACAGAGTCCAGCCGGTGAATGCAGACAGACATACGTGGTCTTGCATTATCTTGATGGAGCATTACCTTTTTGCACCGGAATTCAGTTTGACGGTTTTTCCTTGATAGCAGCGTCAACTTGTCCTAGCATCTCGCCGTACACCTTACTGTTGAGAGTTTTACCTTTTTACAGATACTCTTTGTGGATAATCAACGGCACAGAGCATGGTCCTTTTTTTTATTAGTCTAATTGATATTTGCAACGCTGCTGACGGGCTTACCGGGCGCAGACCAATCCCCTTTTCGGCCTGTGTTGTTGAAGTAAATCCACTTTTCATCACAAGTCAGAATCCGGTCCATAATTTTGTTGCTGGGTTGATATTCGAGCAGATTAGTGTAGGCCCGAACGCGTGTGTTCTTATCTGCTTGAGTCAACTCATGCGGCACCCAGCTATTGAACTTATACGTCAAGTTTATGCGATTCATAGCGCGACTAATGGGCATGGGCATTCAGACACCTTGCACTTTTGCACTTAACGATACTTTTTTACAAATTTCACAACACAGTGTTCTAAAGCAAGTCTCTTTCTTACAAATGTCAAAATCGTTTGACAAAATATTATTAAAGACGCAAATGCAAAATGTTTGCATAGACGATATTTGCGGTGGTTGGAAACTTTCGTTAAAAACCTGATAATATCCCCGTTTATTAAACCTATTATTCAGGCATAAAAGTGTTTAACATTAATGTCTTATTTAATCAGGAATCATGGGTTTTAAATATTTCAGCTTCAATATGCAAGACATTGTTGTTGGCCATTAAAATCGTATTTGTTACTTTTGGCACGAAGAAACCACTACGCAACTTCTGGACAATTAGCTTGGGACTTCTCAGCAGCTTCTGGTATTAAAATAAACCGATTTAAGGCTTGCCGAAAATTTCACAAGCAAGGCTTTTTGCGAGAAATTTGGTTTGCGTTCTGCTTTCTGCGTCTTTCCCAACAAAGAATGTAAGATGATATCGTTTCATTAACAGTGAAGCCAATATGACTGGGCTAAATCACTTTTCCCGGATGTTTGTATTAAGTTTAAATAGTGATTTCGAACATAATTTCATCTGAAATGAATCTGACATACAACCTTCCGTCGCATACTCGTGCAAGACATTGTTTCCGCGTTAGACGGTTACTTGTTCGGGAAGGAATCGTTAAACGGTCGTTTCGTACACGTGATAGAGATTCTGTAACCACGAAGATGTGCATAGGTGAGGTTCTGCCTCCTCAAATAAGAACATAGACGCAATCAAAGACCATAGACGTTTTTTGCTTAAGTGTCATGAGCCGGACACGTTGAGTTTCAACAGCAATATTCCGGCAATAGTGATAATGAATGAATGCTCAGTCAGATTTTTTTTAGTCGTGTATGACAGAAATAGACCTTTCCGAGTTCTTGAGGTGGATGAAAACCTTCAAATGGAGGATATTCATTGACATTGGTGGTCTGGTGGTCTCATTCCGGTGAACGTGTTTGGAATGTCCAAGGTCGGTAAGTAGTAGCTCACCATATTCCTTTTTGGAGTTTCTACGAGCTCAGAAGAATAGTGTTTGATCACCAGTGACTTAATTGATACGTTGAACATTAATATAGAAAGACCTTGCGAAATATGCATTTTCGCTACAGAAAGTCCCCACACACATTATTAAATAATTGTATCTTCAAGAATGCAAAAGAAGTAATTTTCAATTTTTAAATAATGTTTATAATGCAGCATGAGCAGAATTATTTTATCATAATTTCAACTAGTGATAGGCAATTTGTATATATAAATGCTTCGGTACGATTTCTACGTATACATGGAACCATTTAACAGTAGCACATGTGTAACACGCAAACAACTAATAGCTCCGGTGCTGAAAACCAGCCGTTTATGCGGTCATTTTTCGATTTCCATTTGCATCAAGACATAATATTTACCACTGATATTTTTAATTATTAACAGACTTACTTTTAGGTACTGGCAAAGTATGCTGCTTTAAAGTAGTACTTCTTATTACCGAGAAGAGAATATAACAGTTCCGATATCCAGTGTTACCGTCAGGCATTAGCATATGGATATGATCTTGTATGCTATATAAACAGAACCAAAAAAGATTGCTACTTTAGTAGATAAACAGATAAGCATTATGAGAAATTGGGGAAAGCTTATAAAATTTGAATAGCAGATCAATTTTAATTGAACTGAAATTTAATTAATATATATAAATTATCAATTTCAGACCTATAAAAAAGTTGAAAATAAACATCTATCCTTAAATTTTATTCCATTTACAGCAGCCATGTCAACATCGTGGCTCCTGCTTATTGCATTAAACAGTAACTGTATGCTAAAATTTGTGTCACTGTGGTAAAGATTATTAACCATCATCATTAATAATCATTATATAATTAATCATTTATAGATCATCCATTCCATTATATGCACAGATGGATTTAAATAAATCTTCAGTAAAATGATCGGCACGATTGACGGCCAAGTAGCGCGATTTAGCGCCAATTATAAAGGACCGTCTCCATAACGACTGGCGACCGTTACCGAAATTTCCGCCTACAAGTCGACGGGATAATATGTAAGCACCAAATTGTCATATGACCTTCAAGTCAATGCTCATATTACTTAAGAGCAAATACATTAACGAAGGATAGTCATTTGTACTTCAGAGATTGTTTCTGAGCAGCCAGGGATAATATCTGATATTTGCAACAAAAATAAGCGATTGGAATTTTAGCAGGACTAAATGTATTTTGTTTGTAGTTTTCAAACTTCCTTTCATTATACATATATTATATTTCATTATACTTTTATTATGACTGTAATAAATTTATAAGGCTAATGATTTCAATGACTATATTTTAACTTAATTTTAAAATATATTAACAGACCTAAATGCATATCCAGAAATCAAATTTTATCGTTATGAAAGAAAAAAGAGGAAAGAAATTTGCACAATTTTATAAAACATATCTTTTTCGGTACTTTTCCGTTATACGGGCGCCACGAAAAAAACATAAGATATTTTTATTATAACAGTGTTAATAAATTTTAAATACATTATAAATTAAATTTGAACAGGGGCCATGAATTTAGACATGTCTTGCAACATTTTGGAAAACATTTCATTTTTTTATGTAATCTCACATAAGCTCTAATAAGTATGATTCAAGATGGTGGCGTGAGACACCACGTTGGCATTTATTAAGCCACTTTGCACTGTGGGGAATATGGGACATCAAGACCCACGTTCTTTCAACTGTTTGTGTGTGACATCCAGTGTTCGGGCCTATGAAATTGTATCTGTAGACCTGCTTCTTCTTCCTTTTTTTTTTTTTTTTTATATCCGGCTTCTTCTTTCAAATCCTCTGTTTTGTACGCTTTCTAACAATCAGGAAAAATTGTATTACCGTCTGCGACATTTTTTTTTTTTTTTTTTTTTTTTTTGGGACAGCACCAAGTAAAATTTTAGCTGAGCGATCCGAAACGGTTACAATAAAATACTCTTTTCTTTCTCTGCATATGCCTCCAAAAACCTACTGTGGGGGTAAAATCGTCCAAAGTTCCATTTTTTCTCGTAAAAAGACTTTCGTCAACCTCTATTATTCTCTTATTTCCACCAATTTTAACTTCAGGCCTACATAATAAGTCGTGAACTCAAACCTTTGCATATAATTGTTCCAGTCGACGACTGTATTGAGGTTTATCTTTAACTGCATATTACAAAACTCAACTGAGGTCAGTTCATGGCACCAATAGTAGATAAATGTTACAGCTGTAAATGGAATTTAGGTGCAATCCTTTAAACCAAGTGTTTTTTTTTTTTTTTTTCTCGGGAAGATCTAAAATTGCAACACTGTTTTGGTGTATCGTAATTGGTAAAGCACAAAATCATTTCTTGATTTTTTTTTACAAAATCTTGACCTACGAAGAATTTCTTTACGCTGTAGTAATTTTACTGCCTCTTCCTCATCTTTTTATAAATCCTAGATTGCGAAATCCATTTTTTTCTACAAAAATAATTTTAGTCAAATAATGTGTACGAAGAAAGTCATCTATCAAATTATGTTTCGCACAGTTCTAAAAAAAGACTGCAAATCATAGCAAGTGAACATTTGACTCAATTTCACTCATAAAAACCGGGATGATTTAGCTGATCGCATTATTGCTATTCCGGCACGTTACTACAAAGGAGGTTAGAATAGAAGGAGGGAAGGTTCAATTCAAACCGTGAATCTTGGCCGCCATATTGCTAGTACTGCTGTGACCTGTGCAAGGAAGTACGTCATTGCAACATGTATTTTTTTTATTTTTTTATTTTTATTTATTTATTTATTTATTTTTATTATTATTTTTAAAATTTTTGAAGCATGAGATCTTGTGTTGCACAAACCGATTTTCTATGGAGCAACACAAATTTTAATATAACGCAAAAATAGTAAAGTAATATATTTTACTTAATTTCAACATAAGTACGATTTACAAATATAAAATGCATTAATAAATTACGTATAGTATTATTTTATTCTTTGGCATATTTCTCATTTCAGTGAATTCTTTTAGAAGATTGCTGTCGTTTTTTGTTGAATAACTTTTGGACAACTTGTGATGTACAGGATCTGAAGGTATGATTGTGATTATTATAGCATGAAAAGACATTAAATCCTTCTGCTAATGCTAATTTCTTTCTTGGTCTCCATAAATTTTTTTCCGAAAGAATTCCTGCATTTTGTAGGAAGATGCAGGTAGTATTTACATAACTTTTATGTTTTTGTGTCCCCGAGTGCTTTGAAATATCATTCTTCCAGCCGGGCGAAATAGAAAACTCACCATTACATTTCTCACATTTTTTTACCATGTAATCGCTTTGGGTTTCTTTAACAAAAGAAAATTCACTTCTTAGATCATCTTTAAATTCGCATCTTTTGTTCTTACTCATTACGTTAAAAATCTAAAAAAGTATTTATTATAAATTTATATATTATATTATAAATTTTTATCTATATATATATATATATATATTGCTTAAAAAACACAGTAAGTAGGTATATAATTACATGAACATATTTTATTGTTAGCTTAAAAATTAAATTAATTTGTTTCTTGTAAAGTAACTATATTTTAAAAATTATTTTAATTTTATTTCTATATTTCTTTCTCTGAATTTGCCGTAACGCAAGTCGTAAGCGTCATTTTCAAGGTCCACGCTAGAACTTTTGCCGCCACTCTAAAATACAAATAATAAGAGTACTGTCTGCTAAATTCAAGAAAATTTTATGTGTTTATGAAATAAATAAATAAATTACGTACCTAAATTATCTAAATAACTGATTTGTTGACATCACTTGTTTAACTAGCACTAACACCCTGTACGATGTGTATCGTCTGAGAGACAGTTTTAAAATGTTTTCGTCATTACCTATGCCAAAAAATACCTAAGTCCAAACAATGGTGGTCGAATTCTAACAACTGATTAAGAAGGCAAACTTTGATAAGCAGTTCTCGATAATCAGTTGTCAACAATTATTTGTTATTATTAAAATTTAACATTATAAAATTAACAAAAATAATAGAAGCCTCATATCCTGGCGAAGTAGCCACATGGCAGCCGAAAAACGTATTCTCTCGCCGTTCCCTAGCTTGTGCATTCTTTCCAAAAATCGGGACTTTTTTAAAACGACGCGGGGCGAAAGGTTAAAAATCGGGTTTAAAGGTGTTAAATAAAGTAATACTTTTCTTTATGTATTAATTATTATTCACTTTTAAATTTTGTGAACTGTTATGAATATAATATTTGCATTTGATAAAGAAAAACTGCTCTGTTGTTAAAAATTGTTTGCGTAAACTTACAAATTTCTGGACAATATAGTGATAAAAGTAGGTAAAATATTTACATAATTGAACATATGAACATATAAAAAGACATGAAATATACCGCAACATCATTTTGAAAGGCTTTAAAGTTATACACATGCATTTAGATTTCAAAGTATTTCTTAATAATTTTTTGTACATAGTAAATTATGGATATAATTTTCATTACTTTAAAACAAAAATTTAACAATAGTGAGGCATTTCATTATAAATTTAACACACTTTCACTGGAAAATATATATGCACGGAACAGCTTAGAAACACGTACGTTTCACTGCCGTAATGCAATGTTTTGACATTACAAACATGGACGCCGCTTGTTAGGTAGGGTTTCATTTCCCGAAAGTGCAGGGAGCTGTGAACCCTCCATCCTCCTATTCTAACCTCCCTGGTTACTACGCATTTTAAAAGTGTTTTTTCATGGCGCCCGTATAACGGAAACCTACTTCTCTTAATACTACTACTTAAAAAAAGAAATATTAATATATATTCACTTGCATTCCACGAACTCGTGTGTATCTTTATGCATTTTTCGACAGTAAATTAAAATGTCTTCACTCGAATGGCCAAGGTTTTTCAAATCATCAATGGTAGCTATTTCTTCAAATTTGAAAGCTTCGTCTTTCGGGTACTATAAAAGAAGGAAATCTAATTTCAGTACTTTCGGGAATTTCCTTTAATTTTTACCTATAGAAATTTGCAACGAATAACAAGAAAATATGAGTGAATATAACATATGTTTAATACCTTTAAATTTTCAATTCCCTGCTTACGGCACACATCTGGAAAAGCGTTGCAAAACGCTGTGATGTTTTGAGGAGATGTGCAGTTATCTGGATATTCTTCACAAAAGGAGTTTCGTTTGATACTGAAATTTATAAATATTTATTTAATTTGACTAATATGAATATTGCAGCAATATGAATTCTTAATTTAACAAATTTGTTTAAAATGATTTTTGAGTAACTTACATAAGAAAAGAGGAAATTATATTTCTTTTCTTGAAAACATATTTAGTGGATAATAACTAGATAATGAATAAGATACTGTAAGAAAAACATTTTAATTTGAACTACAGAAAGCATAAACATGATGATAACTCACAAGGCAGTGCATACATATATACTCACGTTATTATAAGGAAAACAGCTGAACTGTTGTAAACAAAATCCAAAGTGTTACACAAAACAGACAAAAATTCAGTTCAAGAAAATTAAAAAATCTAATGTGGACACCGCATAACTTCCTTGTATGTCCTATGTTCTATTAAATTATACGCACTTTTTTCTGCAATTCACTTTAAAGTATTTCTTCGAATTAGACTAACTTAATTAATTGATTCCTCTCAAAGCAAGCTGAAAATGGCATCAAAAACTGGAAATTTTGAAATTAAACATCCTTCTCAATAATTTTCATATGGAAGTCAAACTTCTTTTTTTTTTTTTTTTTTCTCCATTATAAGAATAAAACTTTTCCAAAGATACATATAGGAATCGAGAAATCGGATTAAAAGTTTAATTGCTTTATTTGTCCAACATTAATTTTTTTTTAAATTTGACATTGTTAAAACACGAATATTTTTGTCATTTAAAACTCTTCTGTAATTTGAAGTATATGACGAGCAACGATTGCAGAAGTAAAGGCCGGGTAAGGAAGTGGGCATATATATTGTTACGAAATGTCTAGATACGGTAAGATAGCTTCCCGGCAAAGCGGGTTTAGGGTTCCCAGAAAATGGCAAGGAATGGTTACCATACTTGGCTCTAAATCGCTCATTTTGCGACAAAATTGGTGATATGCCACAGACGGATGGAGAATCTTCTAGAACGAATTCTTACTGGTTTGGCCCAGATTATCCTCGAAGGCAGGCCAAAAGCTATACAAAACCTGCCTTTACGCAAAGTAGCAGTCTAGAATGTGTTTCGTTATCTAGCGAGTTGACTGTCAGTCTAGTGTCGAGATGGTCGTCGGATCGTGAGTCTAGCGAGTGCATCGTCGAGTCTATAGATTTGATCGTCAGTCTAGTGTTTCGTTAGTGGATCGTGAAGTGCATCGAGAGTGTATGTACCCTTTGAGTCTAGTGTCGAGTCGGTCGTCGAACGTATCGCGAGTTGGTGCATCGTTGAGGCTATCGCGTGTATCGTCGAGTGCATCGCGAGTTGTAGTGTGGAGAGTCTCGAGAGTACGTTGAGTTCCGAGAACGACCGAACCGAGTCGGGAATTGTACTCTAGTGCTTTGCTGTGAAGCTTTGTTCACCGTTATAGCCTGATAGCCTGTGTTGCTGATTGTTTCAGTGTGCTTGTCATAGTTTTTCGACGACTGTAAACATGTTTATGGAACTGTCCTGAGTAATAGTGGCAAATAAATTGTGTTTTCATTCTTCATCAAGTGTTGTCGTCAATCACTCCAAATCCCCAAACCCGTAAAAAACGTAACAATTTATTATTTTTTGCCATAATTTAAGATTTCAGTTCAGGTATTTTATATTACTGATTATCACATTTAGAATTTAGAATAAGGGTTTTGTTCACAAATGGAAAAACGACAAAATATTATCCTAACGAACTGCTAGTAGTTGTACAGAGGGATTCGAATGCCCCTTGAAAAGTCGGGATCTTTCTGTAGAATCATCAATGATTTTAATTGTTTAAATACACTATTTTTATCAATTCAGCATTTAATAAATTACAAATTTCAGTTTAAGTAATTCCAAATTCGGTTTCCACAATAGTACGCCTTTACAATCTAAATTTTCTTCACATTTCCTAGGAGATAATCTACTTATTTATACATCCTTCATTAGAATTAAAATTTATAATCTTAGCGCAGAACTTTACTTTTAAAATAAACTGTGAAATTCCCTAATTTTTAGTTCAAAGGGGCTTTGTCTCTGAAGGACTATTGTTTTCGCTTTTGCGATTTTGCGTTGAATCACTATAAATGTCCGTTTCACTTTTCAAACTGGTGCCACCCAATATTAGAGTTCTGCATTATATTTGAAGAAATTAAATAATGAAAAATCTGCATAAATGTATGTCTATTTCTCGCATTGTGATAAAACAACGGTACATACAGCCATCGAATTTTCAATGACATAATCCTCCTACGAATATGGGCATGTGGCAGACCAAATTTGAAACTTGAAATTTGAACGAATTTTTGAGTAACAAACTCAACGATTTAAAAGCGAGCAATGGCAACACTCTACGGCGGGGGGGGGGAACCTTTTTATCTCCAGCGTGCGCGGAACTGTGTATCAGAAATTCTAAAGATATGATCATTTTAAAATTATTTTGCGACATTGCTACTGAACTGAATTTTATGGTTTAGGTGCAAAAAACATGATATTTAATAAATAAAGGTAACACACAAAACATTAAAAAAAAAAAAAAAAAAAAAAAAAAAAAAGCCCTTTAGACGTAATTTAAAATCTGAAACCTTTCAGTTTTTTTTAGTCCAAAGGGGCTTTGTCCCTGAAGGACTATTGTTTTCGTTTTGCGATTTTGCGTCGGACTCATAAACGTCGGTTCACTTTTCAAACTGTTGCCACAAAATGTTATAGTCCTGCATTATATTTGAAGAAATTAAATAATGAAAAATCTGCATAAATGATTGTCTATTTCTCGCATTGTGATAAAACAATGGTACATAGAGCCATCGAATTTTGAATGACGAAATCCTACTGCGAATATGGGCATCTGAAATCCCAAATTTGGAATTTGTTTTATTATAGATTTTATATTTTGTAAAACTTTAACGAATTTTTGATTTACAAACTCAATGCTTTAAAAGCGAGAAATGGCAACGTTATATAGAAAAAAAAATACTTTTATGTCCAGCTCGCGAGACTGTGTATATCGGAAATTCTAAAGATATGCTTAATTTAACATTATTTTGCGATATTGCTCTTGAACTGAATTTTATGGTTTAAGTGCAAAGAACATGATATTTAATAAATCAAGGTAACACTCAAAACGTTAAAAAAAAACGCCCCTTTGGACGTAATTTAAAATCTGAAACATTTCAGATTTTTTTATTTATTTATTTTTTTTAAGGTTTTTTTTTTTCCTTCTTTGTAGCTTTTTACCAAATATATACGTGTATGTTTGGTATTGCGTACGGCAATAAAAACGGGAGGTACACAACTAGATATTATAGCAGTCCTATATACAACATTTCAGCGTTCTACGACTAATTGTTTTTGAGTTAAGCGAGCTACATCCATACATACATCTCATAAAAAAATGCCTTTTGAACTTATTTTAAATCCATTTTGGAAAAAAAAAAAAAAAAAAAGTGTCCTTTATTCTGTCCATACATACGTCACACCAGAGTGAGAGACAGTCAGATCCAGGCCACACTCCGGAGTATCATATCATATTTCACCATCCTTTGCTTTAATACTAAACAGTTAACATCTGAGAAATTTTTCTGTTATACCAGCGGCATATCTAAAAATTTGATCTATTCTTTTTACAAGGACTTTTTGGAAATGATAAACTAATTTGGGACTTACGGTCTTTTTTGTATAATGAACTATGAAGTGTAATTATTCGGTTTAAGCAGGGAGAGCAATGTAGTCATTCTCCTACTGAAGGAAAGTTTAGAAAATATATCTTTCATCATTTTTTAGTACCACTAGTTCCATGAGCTAACGCACAGTCGTTTTGGAAGTTGCGTTTTGATTTCCTTTCGAAGGAAGCAAGATATCGTCTGAAATATGCTTGCGACATATTTATTAAACCTTAACCTTGGATCAGTAGAAATAAGATGTGTTTCCTAGCTAGTACATATTACTTCTCAAACTAAATTATAAATGGGATTATTAACGCTTGTTCACGAAGCTAAAAGGTTCAGAAATAGTTGCTGATCAGATTGTGTTATTACGGCTATTGTTGCATTGTTAGTAATGAAAGATATACCTGAACTGTTTTGCCATAATCAGTCAATCAATCAGTCAGTGGTGAACAGCTATGGCCAGTTTATTTCCGAAAATATTTCTTGTCACCCTGCAGCTCAGAGTAATCTTCTAAGAAAGTTTCTTGAAGAAGAAGAAACATTCATGAAGAGATTGAAGAAATTTATGTTGTCTGATGCAGTGAATCTGACAGCTTAGTCTTGAAGTAAAGCTTAACTCTAATAATTATCTGGGGAAGTGAGGGAAAAAAATATCCTTAGTAATATAATGAAGGTTCATTGTACCGGTAACGCGATAACTAAGTCACACCTTGTTGAAACATTTCTGAAATTCAGAGTTTTCAGAATGTTAGCAATAAAAACATGAAAGAGTAGCTGAGAAACACAAAATAAGATGAAGGCTACGAGTTTGTATTAAACCAAGATATTTTAGATGCAAAGACAGAAGAGTGGCTAATATCAGAGAACATAAAGACGAAAGTGAAAACGACGTTGAGAAAAAAAAAATAGCCACGATAAAGAACTGGAATGTGTACACAAATTGTTAGACTATTTGCATCATAGATTTGGGCAGCTAGAAAGGATGTCCTAATGACTTGCAAAATTAATAATATGTAACACAGAATATATGAGTAATTTTGATTTAATTATAGCTAAGGTAAGGTTTACATATCATATGGTATAGTTTTTTCTTTCAAATCTCTGAAGAAGTATTCCTTCTCCATTACATAAAGTCTTTTTTTTTTTTTTTTTTAGTTATCCATTATTTCCAGTTTTACCTACATTACTTGCCACAGGTAATTAGGGGTTAAGCGCAGTTTGAAACTGAGGAAAGTTTAAGAATTAATACTTACAACAGAATATAGTTTGATTTCATAATTATAAAGCAGTTAATGTTTTTTATGCAATTTTAGGCATACATAATAATTTCACACTTATGTAGAAAAATTACTAATAAAATCTGAATGGAAGTAGTTAAAAGGTATTACCCATTGAGATTGCAGTACGTGATTGCTGGCGATTCAATGATTTCTGGGTATTCGACATCAATGTCTAGTACAGTAGGGTAACTCCAGAAAATTTTCATAAATTCCGTTGTTTGATATACGAAACCTATGACGCAACTTGCCAAAATCGTGCTTTTGAGAATCTTCCTACCTAAGCTGCGAGTCTGAACTATTTGAGGAATTCCAGTAAGTAAAGAATCTTGAAACAAATCTTTCGTGTACTGCGCAGTAGACGCAGTTTCTCTCGGCATGATGATCCGAAAGAATTCTGGGTACAAATTTAGAAGTCTTGGAACCTAAAAATAAACATTTAAAAGTAATCAGACACATGTATGCATATTCAGGTGAATTAAAAGTTCTGAATTTGTTGCATTCCTAAGAATGACGACCTCTTAAAACCTAGAAGCATTTGGACATCATAAAGTTAGAAGCAACTATTACAACCCTCTCATTTTTTTTATGTCTAGTTAATTGAATTTAGAAATCAGCCACGCATAACTTCATCGCTTAGGATCGAATAAAGAAAAGGGAGCAAAGTAACCTAGCAAACATATAAGTTCAGTCAACTGATATGTAAGTAAAACATATCAGTTGACTACTAGCAACTTGACTGCATAAGGACTGTGTCTAACAAATTGCTCCAGTGGTTGCCAAGGGCTAAAAAGGCCATAAAGGCTTCGATTTTAGACAACTTTATTACTTATTAGAAAACAAATACCTCTATTAAGCATCAAAACATTATTTCAGTATCCAAGTATTACTTATTGACACTTATATTTGATAAACTGCATTTGTTCTCAAGAACTTAGCCTAAAAGCAAGTACTTCTTGACATGCATCTCTCACTGCAGAAGAAGCTTGTTCTCGTTGTGCATAACCGACAAGATTAAATTTTTAGAGAAATTGTTTGTACATTGTTTGAATGATATCAGTCCAACAACACAATTCAATGTAATAAAATATTATTTCTCAAATGCTCAGCTTTATAACTATCAATATGCATATTTAGTCAAGCATTAATTTTTCTTGACTAAATATGCATATTAATAGTTATAACTAATTAAATAATTAACTACTGGTTAGTAACTAATTAACTATTATTGATAGAACCAGTAGTTAATCCGTCAAAGCTGATATCTTTTTTTTCCCTGCTTTCTGTCAATTCACATGATGACAAACGATGCTAACATTTTTTAGCAGTTTCTAGCTTTCAGGGAAAAATAGCACTTGAAACCGCTTGTTAAAAGTAGGAATTTAATCGGCGTGAATAACATCAAAGCATCGCATCCGGATCGTAAGACTTCTTGTAAAACTTCCTAACTAATAAGGACTAAGAATCCGCTTAGGAGAACTTTTCACGATCCAAAAGAACACCAAGCAAGCAAATGAGTGATTCGTTCTCTACCTTGAAAATCCCAACCAATAACACATTTGCAGTCATAAAAAATGGTCAGACTATAGTTATATTAATAGTTATAACTAATTAAATAATTAACTACTGGTTAGTAACTAATTAACTATTATTGATAGAACCAGTAGTTAATCCGTCAAAGCTGATATCTTTTTTTTCCCTGCTTTCTGTCAATTCACATGATGACAAACGATGCTAACATTTTTTAGCAGTTTCTAGCTTTCAGGGAAAAATAGCACTTGAAACCGCTTGTTAAAAGTAGGAATTTAATCGGCGTGAATAACATCAAAGCATCGCATCCGGATCGTAAGACTTCTTGTAAAACTTCCTAACTAATAAGGACTGAGAATCCGCTTAGGAGAACTTTTCACGATCCAAAAGAAGAACACCAAGCAAGCAAATGAGTGATTCGTTCTCTACCTTGAAAATCCCAACCAATAACACATTTGCAGTCATAAAAAATGGTCAGACTATAGTTATATTAATAGTTATAACTAATTAAATAATTAACTACTGGTTAGTAACTAATTAACTATTATTGATAGAACCAGTAGTTAATCCGTCAAAGCTGATATCTTTTTTTTCCCTGCTTTCTGTCAATTCACATGATGACAAACGATGCTAACATTTTTTAGCAGTTTCTAGCTTTCAGGGAAAAATAGCACTTGAAACCGCTTGTTAAAAGTAGGAATTTAATCGGCGTGAATAACATCAAAGCATCGCATCCGGATCGTAAGACTTCTTGTAAAACTTCCTAACTAATAAGGACTGAGAATCCGCTTAGGAGAACTTTTCACGATCCAAAAGAAGAACACCAAGCAAGCAAATGAGTGATTCGTTCTCTACCTTGAAAATCCCAACCAATAACACATTTGCAGTCATAGAAAATGGTCAGACTATAGAAGAAGCAAGAATATTATTAATTTCGGATAATAAGAAATCCAAAACGAAAATACATAGCAGTAAAATACCTTGCAGAAGGCGATAAAAATTTCCAAGTTCCTTCAGAAGTCATATGAATCAGCCCCGGTTAATTCCATTCGTATGACATGCACGAACGATCCTGAAAAACTTTCAAATGCCTTTCTACTTAACGGATCCTTCTGTAATCAATCAGGAAGTTAGTACGGAGCTTAAGTATCCCAGACGCACAACCAAGATCTTGGCTATTATAATTAAGAACTGCAAGATGAGTTGAGAAAGTAAAGCGTCATGCAATTAATTGCTTGAAATACATCAACTTCTGGATATTGTATACAACTATTGTTAATGGCGAATTTTTGGATATTGTAAACAATATCCAGAAGATGTGAAGATACGTTTACAATATCCAGAAGATTGGAAGACAGAATTAGCCAATTTAAACTTTACAGCAACAAAGAGTAAAGAGGCAAAAGAGGAAGTAAAATACATAATACGAGATTTTTACCAACTTTGGATACAGTTATATTGAAAAAACAATTAAAATGTTATTTTGATTCTGCAAACTTCCCCAAGAAACTCCTCATCTGGTTACACTCTTGTACTAATAAATTCCTTTTAAAACTGAAAAAATTCATTCTTGAAAACTACGACTAAATACAAATTGTTAAAGACATGGTTCTTGATTTTTGCAACTTCAGACTTTCTAACTGTCTGGCTCTAAGCAAAATTTATTTTTAAAGTCAATTTTCTGCATCCGCAGTTTGACAATATTCGATTCTCTAGCATCTTCAACGAATGTAAAGTTTACTTCCCAGCTATAGACACCAAATCAGTAGTTGCATTTAAATAGCAAAAGCCGTTAAGCAGCTTGCTACTAACCCCCATGAAATAGAAGAGTCGGCAGAATGACATTACAAATTACTAATTTACAGTATTTGTGTAGATGCTCATCACCAACACATAATTACTGGCAACCTGGATATCATACAAAATGATCAACTAACAACACTATTGAGTTATGGAGTAAAATACAGACCAGTGAGATACATATACAAAAATTACTGTTACAAGATTTTCGAAAACAGCCTCAACGAATTTAAAGCAAGCTATCAACTGAATTTATCTATAGATACCTTTTTAAAATGAAAAGATGAAATACTTAAACACTACTGCACTTTCTCATCAAGTTTCAAAGTACATTAAATTGGTCACAACTACTGTCTGATATTAAAAATTTAAAAAAGCTTTTAGCTACTACCAAAATAGATAAAGCAAATAATAACTTTAGCATTATATGAAAACAGTTCTACGCAATAATTATTAATAAAGAACTTTTCAACACAACTACTTATCAATTAGCAAACAATACAGAAACATCTATAATTAACAGAATTGAAACTTTTCATAAAAAACTAAATATCTCTTTAAATCCAAAATACAACAGATTTACTAGCCTATATACTCTTTCCAAATTTCATACAGATTCATAGCAAATGGAACTAATAACTACAAAAAAAAAAAAAAAAAAAAAAAAAAAAAAAAAAAAAATGTAGACTATTGTTTTGCACTTCAGCTTAAAAAAATTTGTAAAATTATTTTCAACGATTGTAACACTAATCATAAATATTGCTGGATCATTCAAAATAACACTCCTGTCATTAATGCCATTCAGGCAATCGACATTCAAAACATTAACTGCTATGACTCACTTCCTTTAGAAGAAATTTATACTAGTCTAGTAGATCTGCCTAAACTCTTCCCTGCTATGCTCACGATTATGAACTTTAGTAAGTAGAAAAACCTACCTAAAATGCACCATTTTTCATAACTACCTTAAATTTCAAAATTAACTTTTAAAGCAAGTCAGAGGACTTCCAATGGGCGCACATTCAAGTACTTCCATCTGTAATCTCTTTTTACTTATCAAAGATTTTAACTTCCAAAAAAACCTACAACAACAAGAATTAAATTACTACAATCACACTTACAGATATATAGATGATCTTATTACATTTAATAATTTAAATAAGATTGAAAACTCAGAGATTTAGTGAGAATGCCTTACACTTAATAAAACTAATCATTCGCAAAATAACATCGACTATCTTGATCTTCAAATCATTAACTACAAAAAAATTTTACTCTTTGACAAAACAAGAAACTTCAATTTCAATACTAACAAATTAATAAATTGGACTTCCGACATCTCCAAAAAGTTATTAGTAATACTATCTTAAATCAAATATAACGTATTAAAAATATTTGCACAGATACGATAGATCTACAACGCAAAATTATGCTCCTTATTAAAATTCTCAAAAATAATCTAATACCTAATCGATTTATTAACCATTGTCTTAAAGGTTGTATTTAATTATGGCAAAGCACACGAGGGCTATCTGCCTAAAGGGAGGGATGCCTTTCGTGGAGGACTTTCTAAGGGAAACTGGCTCGTATACACGTTACACATGGGGAAAACCACGAAAACGCCCATGCAGCCAGCCCTTTCGCGGGATTCGAACCTCGGACCGAACTACCAGTGTTCAGCGTCTTTACCGCTCGGCCGCTGGTGGGCCCATTGTCTTAAAAGAAGAAGGCGTTAAATACTCTCTCTAAATCATTTAACTGATAGGGATATGATAATTTGTTCCTAAACTTGAAAAAAGGCAGTATAAGATGGATGACTATCAGTTGCAGGATTTGTACATAGTGTAATTACAAAATTGTATATAATGTAAAATATCATTATTTTCAGACCTTTCTTAAGCTGTTACTAAAAAATGAGCCTATTTCATATTCTATAGTCTGCCAAATAGCTCGTTAGCAATAAAAATTACTATTTTTCTTCTTTTCTTTCTCGTTCCGCCACGACAATTAGCCAGAAATTAATTAATTTCCATTCACTAGTTAGTACATTCAAAATTTTAACAGACGCTTTCACTCACATAAGAACTCAGCAACA